AACAGATCACTTCTGAATTATTTTCCATTTCTGAATAATTTTAAGTGAACAATATTAATGTTATCAACAATTATATTAATTTATTTACTAAAATGTATTACTGTAAACACCCCAAACACCAATAAACGATTTAACTGCACACGTACTTTTAATTTCCCATCAGAAATTGAGGACTGAACACTTTTACCCAAATGTATACAGTTAATTACCTATTGCATTGACGTTTATTTTACAAAAATTTTCTACATAGGTTTTCCAATACTTGCATAACAAGAAAATTCGTATCGAAAGTACGTACGATCGAAAGTTATGTAATGCTGGGGAAAATCAATTTCAAGATTTGAACGGAAATACACGTATTGAGGTCCACTGATACCGAAAAAGTCTGTCCGTCGGTCCATCCGCCCGCCCGCTCGCCCGTCCGCCTATCCGTCTCCCCGTCGGTCCCTCCGTCCGTCGTCGGTCCCCCTGTCCGTCCGTCCGTCGGTCCGTCGGTCCCTCCGTCCGACCCTCCGTCCGTTTGTCTGTCTGTCTGCCCGCCCATCCGCCCGTCCGCCCGTCCGTCCGTCCGTCTGGAATCTGTGAACAGTACTAGCATCTGAACCATGCGAAGCATTTTTCCGAATTGAAGAAACCCCGGACCATCTGGCTCGAGTCGACTTTGCGATTTTGAAAAACATTCTTGAAACTTTGGGGGTACTTTACATGGAGCCCTCCGGACATTTTCAAAATTTTCTCAAAAACGGCTCAAACTTTTTCCTTAAATTTTTGCAAGAAGAGAGTAACATGCACTTATAAAAGTGGCATTGGTCCTATTCTCACGGTTAACTCTGAATTTTCGGAAATTTCAAAAGTATGAATTGTTTTCGGTGTCTACAAAACAACTACAAAATTAAAGATAGAAATTTTTCCTTCAAATAAAATGTCCTCCATAGTGATCTCTTCCGTTAAGGTCATGCACATTAATTTGAAACTTTTAGTAGTTTTCGCGCTATATTGCGTGCAATTTTTGTAGTTTTAAACAATTTCAACAACCAGATATTCTCAAAAACGGCTACATTTTTTTCTTTAAACTTTTGGTAGGAATTGTGCTAAACGCACTCTATAAGATTACACAAACGCCATATTTGTTATTCTTTTGTTGTTTTCCAAAAATTATTTCAAAATTATTTTTTTTGATTCGTCTTTTACGTCGTTAATATTTACGTCAGGGGTTATCGCGAGCTTCGGCTGCGAGGTGTAGCGGTTGCCGCGGGACGAGAGACCAGGAGCGGCGCTGTCGCTGGGTCAGGCTGATGCGGGTATGCCTCAAGGATGTGCAATGCTGGGAGTGCAGCGCTAGTTTCCCAGGAGTGTGAGTATTCCGTATTGTGTAGAAGAAATTGTAAATAAATCTGTACAAAACAACTCCGTGTATGAGATTTACTCGCGCCCGTTTATTTCCAGAGGGTTGGCAACATTGATGGTGACAACTTTAAGTGAACATGAATTATTAAGTGAATCGCGTTGCAGGTTTCGTTTCAGTTTTGATTCGAAGTATCGTAAATTTAAAAAAAAATTGAGTTAACCTACTAACAGTATTTCCTCAAATTTATTTAAATTCAAGAATTTCAAGTGAATACGAATAAATCAAAACTATAAGTAATGCTAGAGAATGAATGAACGTTCTTATGTTCGACGTCTTAATTTTACGTTCTTACACAAGTGTGCAAATACCGATTTTGAAATGATTGTGACCCACGACTTATTCGTATTAAACTTAATACCTTAATCACTTAAACATACAAACAGTCGCCTTTTAATATTTTTATAGCTTCGCATACAAAACTATTAATAGAGCGATTACAGAAGTAAAAGTGAATACAAAGTAGACTGAGTTTTGGAGTTTTAATCTCTTCAAAAATTATCGGATCAAAGTATGTGTGGATCGAAAGATATCGGATAAAGAAATGTTAAGGAAATCTGGGGAAGAATCAAATGTAGTTGTAAAAGATGTTACGACTGAATTTTCGGAACTAATTGGAAATGATGAGCATTTTTGCATTTAGCATTAGTGCTAATGCAAATATGCTATGTTCATTTTTGTGAATATTAGTGAAATCGCTAAAAAATATAGCTGTACTAAAATATAACTATTAGCGTCATCAAACCCTACAAGAATCTGTTACGGCGATTACAATTTTGAAATTGTAATAAGACCTGTTTATATACAGTACGGGGGTAACATACAAGGCCACTTGGTGTTGGGAACTTTAGAACGGGAGTATAACATTATCAGCTACTACGATTCATTGGTAAGTTCAATGCCAGTTAGTGAAAGAACATATTTGAACAAAACTGGCCAGGAAATAAATGAAAAATGAAATAAATTTTCAAAATATGAATTTTTTTCAAAACAGTTTATTTTTAACAGTTTAAATTTGGTGACGCCACATTTTCCTATTAATTGAATTTGTGAACGGCGTTATTTTTGTTTAATAATGGGATAAAAGGGATAATTCCTTTTAAAAGTTCTCTAAGAAAGTAATACTTCTATAAAGTAATCAAAAGCCACTAAAAAGGAAAATTCTATTCATAACTACAATGCATTTCAAAGCATCCATCCACAATTTTCTAATTTAAGATTTGTTTCCTGCTACAATGTCACATACGAATATTACAAAAATTAAGAAATATGCTTAAAAGGGCAAAAATGTAGACAAACTGTAGCTGTCATAACTACCATTTCGAATTTGAAATTCGAAGTTGATAATTGGAGACCCACAACTTTTTCAATAAACGGGTCCGTGTTCAAAAAAATCTCGCTTTTCGTCACGGACACAGAATAGAGGAACACCCTCAATGTTAATTGGCGGAATCAAAGCCCCTTGCAACGTTCTTAGTGGTCGGGCAGTTGCCTTATCTCCCGAACACTTCTACGGGATTGCTAAAGTAGACTGCTCACTTGCCGTTCTCTGGCCAAGCGTTTATCGGCGAGTAGTCGGTGTGGCCCGCTTCTTTTCGAGGTTACAGCCCTGCGGTGGTGGCAGGGAAGGGCGGGAATGAAGCGATCGGCTCTAGTCAAAGGCAAGTGGACCAGGTGCAACAGCAGGGATCCACCTCGGACACTCTGGTCCAAATTCTTGCCATTGCGCAGTTCGGATTTACACTATGCATTCAAGAAAGAAGGAAAGCAGGCAGACCGTGGCAAATTTTATTCAACAAATGCCTTGCGCACAAGACGAGCAAACAAAAAAAAACGTTGTGGTTGCGGCAGCGGAGTCAGAAAGGGCGGCGGGCGCCGGGCGAGGCGTCGGCGGCGTCGGCGAAGTCCTCGGGGCCCGGGAGGCGCGCGG